TATGACAAATTGAAAAAATTTATTTTTTTACTAGTACACTAATAATATAAATGTCATACAATGTTGGTATGTCTATGATGAGTCATATGCTTAATAAATTCCAGCTTATGATAAAGCATTTGGTTAATATACTCACTGTGAAATAGGCTTTAAACAGCTGATTGGAAGAGTCTTTAAGAGCAGCCTGCAATGGTTCAACTAATTCTAATGTATGCTTGAGATAGATGACACATGTTATCCGACTGTCAGCTGTTTTGATGTTTTCTTGCTTTGGTATCTGAACTGTCAGCGACAACAGATGATCTACATCAATGAACCTACTTAAAACTGAACAGAAATAAAAGTCTATTATTGTTAAAACACTTTGACACATATTTTTAAAAGTCAGTTTTCAGTTCGATAATAGTTTTCCATTCTATTCATTGTTAAGGGTCGCTCGTAAAATGCTAAGTAGTGTTAAAGGTAAAGTTCTCTCCCATAATGCACTGCATATATGTGCAGTAACATGCTCAGTAGTGTAAAATTTGAAGTTCTCTCCCATAATGCATTGCATATATGTGCAGTAACATGCTCAGTAGTGTAAAATTTGAAGTTCTCTCCCATAATGCAATGCATATATGTGAAGTAACATGCTCAGTAGTGTAAAATTTGAAGTTCTTTCCCATAATGCATTGCATATATGTTCAGTAACATGCTAAGTAGTGTTAAAGGTAAAGTTCTCTCCCATAATGCACTGCATATATGTGCAGTAACATGCTCAGTAGTGTAAAATTTGAAGTTCTCTCCCATAATGCATTGCATATATGTGCAGTAACATGCTCAGTAGTGTAAAATTTGAAGTTCTTTCCCATAATGCATTGCATATATGCACAGTAACATGCTCAGTAGTGTAAAATGTAGTTATCTCCCATAACGCATTGCATATAAGTGCATTAACATGCTCAGTAGTGTAAAATTTAGTTATCTCCCATAATGCATTGCATATATGCACAGTAACATGCTCAGTAGTGTAAAATGTAGTTATCTCCCATAATGCATTGCATATAAGTGCATTAACATGCTCAGTAGTGTAAAATTTAGTTATCTCCCATAATGCATTGCATATATGCACAGTAACATGCTCAATAGTGTAAAATGTAGTTATCTCCCATAATGCATTGCTTATATGTGCAGTAACATGCTCAGTAGTGTAAAATGTAGTTATCTCCCATAATGCATTGCAAATATGTGCAGTAACATGCTCAGTAGTGTAAAATGTAGTTATCTCCCATAATGCTTTGCATATATGCACAGTAACATGCTCAATAGTGTAAAATGTAGTTATCTCCCATAATTCATTGCATATATGCACAGTAACATGCTCAGTAGTGTAAAATGTAGTTATCTCCCATAATGCATTGCATATATGCACAGTAACATGCTCAGTATTGTAAAATGTAGTTATCTCCCATAATGCATTGCATATATGCACAGTAACATGCTCAGTAGTGTAAAATTTGTAGTTATCTCCCATAATGCCTTGCTTATATGTGCAGTAACATGCCCAGTAGTGTAAAACTGACTTAAGTTACATTTTGATGCCTTCAATAATTCAAGAATGAATAATTTCATGAAAAACATGCAGGATCGATTTGTTTACATATTGATGATTGATACATTATGATAAAGAAATACATGTACATAGAATATAAAAAGATATGAGAATGAGCATACCAGACTGTAGATTATAGAACATCTCTTCATTCTCTGTCAATTCACTGACACAATCTTGACGCAAAGTAATAGTTTCCATATCTGAGAAAAAAAAGTCTATTGTCGATCATCAATATTCTTATCTGCTACCATAAGTTACAGACTACAGCAATTTTGTGGTATTTGATGTAACTTGTAAATCCTATTCTCATATTTTAACAGATTACACAGCAAATAAATACATGCAGCTTTGAAAAATACACACTTGAAATAGAAACTACAAGTACTCATAATATATTAATACTCAAAATAA